CCCCCCCCCCCCCCCCCCTGTTGCATATCCTACATGTTTGAGGCTAGCAATGCCTGCAGCACTCGGCAAAGTCGCGGATAGCTGCTCCGTCTCTGTCACCACCTTTTGAACTACCAGCTTCGTGATCTCCAGTCTATCTGCCTGCTCGTCCACCGCTCGGTCAACATGCGGCCCATGTCGCCTCCTCGCGCCGCGATCAACTAGCAGGCGTTCGGCCTGTCGAGCAACGCTTCTCAGAAGCCTGCGGACGGCGCTGAGGGAGAGGGGCCCAAGGCGAGGCGCACGGAGGAGCAGGCGAAGAAGGTGGCAGAGCACAAGGCCGCGGAGATGGAGTACAAGCTCAGGATGACGGCCCTGAGGAAGGAGGTCCAGCGGGAGGTATGCTTTGGCCGCCCCCGTTATGTGTCCTGCGTCTGCTGTAGCAGTGGCTGGGACTACCTCGTTGTGCGAGGATTCGTAGTTGTGCCCACGGGTTCGATGACGGCATGCACCCTGTGCATAGCGTCGATAGCTGTGAAAGAAGGGCGCCCCCGGCCTCCAAGGTGATGGGGCAGGGAGCTTGGCATGTTGGGCATGAATTCTCGATGCCACAGCTGTTGTTGTCAGAGACGTGTCTACACTGCTGCACAGGGCGTCCCAACAGGAAGGCGTGCTCTCGGCCTTCTACACTGACAGTTATGACATTCGGAGCCTTTTTACTGTGATTTTAAAGAACGCGAATTGCTGCAGACTCCCAGGTCGAAAAGTATGCCTTCGCCGCCCAATTCGAAGAAAACGTACTTCAATCAATTTTTGCTTCGAAATTCCCCGCCCATACTACCCTGACTCCATGTCCGGGCCCGTGCAAGCGCAGCCAAGCAAGACCCACCTCACCATCACTCCTTCCCAGTAATGCTGTCCGTGCTGCTGACACAAGCCTATTGTTGCTGATTTCCACCATGACAGGTAAAGGACAAGCGAGAAGCCGATGCAGTGACCGCCGCCCTGGAGCGCCGCCGTATCGCCAAGAGGCAAGCGGCTGCTCGCGCCGAGCGAAAGAGGAAGGCCGCCATCAGCATCGCGTTGAACGAAGAGAGGAAGCAACAGCTCAAGGTGTGTACGTACATACATGGTATGCCTCGATGGTTGCCCAGAGGTGTGGTACCCCTCGAAGGTAGCTCTAGAATTTAGCTCTGGAAGATAGCGCTAGAAGGTATGGCTCGATGGTTGTTCAGAGGTACAGCGGCACCTCTAGAAGGCAGTCTGCCGGTTTCACCAGACCCTTCGGCTCGTGCCCCAATCTAGCGAATTGATCGAGGCTGCCCACCGTCGGCCCGAACTACTGTGTGCGCACCTCAAGTACCGTTGTGTGTGTGTGTTTTTTTTTGCGCTATTCACGCCGCTGTGTTTTGTCCCAACCCCCCCCCCCCCCCC